TCACCCTTCATGGTTCGAAGTATACAATAACGAACATATAAATATGGTATTATTACTCACAGTGATGATTGATCTTGCAGCGTTTCCTCCGACATACGACCTATACCAAACAGGTCACACACATATTCGATAAATAATTCACTTCAATTATACTCTTTTATTTCATTATTCACAACCTTTTTTAATGAGTTTCTATTCATCATTTCACTCCTAAAAGGGGTTAAATAAGGTTGGGAATGCATTCCAGAGGGCGGGGGTAGCAAAGCAAAACAACACAATTTTTTTCCTGTTTGGCCGCACGTACGGCCGGTCCAGCCGCTCAAGCGGTCTAGCTCCACACGTGCGAAAATGGCCACCGCTTGAGCGCACAGAAAGGAGTGGGTTTAGGCTTAAATCTTGGGCGCTCGTCTAGAGCCTGAGGCCGCAAGAGTGGTTTGGGCTCATTCAGGCAGTCTGAAAATGGCTCCAAGATGCAAACGTTTTCCTCTCATTCCCAAGTCCAAATCCATGTAAAAACAACTCAAAAACATGATATATAAGCATGATACAAGTGTAATTCCTCATCAAACATATCAATCTTGCATTGTAACAACCCTCATACTGTTTACCGACTTATGACTGATTGATTACCGTTAAACTGAATTGATTACGACTGATAATTGAACTGATTAAAGTACGGAACTGACTGACTGAAATTTGGAAACCGAATTGATTGAGTATATATTAGTTAAATTGCATTCTATCTGTTTGACTGGATGATTATCTGTTCATGCTTATATGTTTAAACTGCTAATTGAAGGCCATATCGGCGGCCGAATTAGAAACCGATTGATGTTCCATGATCCTCAGAATTAATGTGATTTTATGGTATATTTATCTGAAAATTGATTAGGTATGATTAAATTAGATTAAAATACGTTAATTGCAATAGTTGCTCTATTTACCTTATTGCCATTGTTAGTGGGCCCTTATTATAACATGTTAGATCCTTGGTATGCTTGAATCAAACATTTTGCTCAGCTCATTTCTTGCTTTTGCCGACTAGAGGGAGAGAGTTAAAGGAGAGAGTTAGATTTCACCTCTTTTGGCTTGGTTTTGCTTGGAAATTGAAGGAATTGTTAAGGAGATTGCATATTTGAGCTCCCTTCTTGAACTACAAGACTAAAGGTAGCTCCATTGTCTTCTTACTTGAGGAGTTGATTTCATCTCAATCTTGCTTGTGAATTGTTTGGAAATTGAAGAATTATTGAGGAGATTGCATATTTGAGCTCCCTTCTTGAACTACAAGACTAAAGGTAGCTCAATTGTCTTCTTGTTCATGTTTTGAGTTGATTCTTGCATGGTTAGAGCTAAGTTGAAGTCTAGAGCCACCCTATGGCTCAAATTGCTATGTTGAAGCTTAATTGTTGCATGCATGTACATATATTGAAGTTTTGAGGTTGTAGTTCATAATTCCTCACATGCATGTTCATAATTTTGTAATGGTCCATGTTTTCAACTTGTTTTTGGATCAATTGGCTCCCTAGAGCATCAAATTGAAGCTTTAAAATGATTTAAAGATCATGCATGTCATGTTTGAGGATTGTCCTTGGAAAATGGTTTGAAATTGGGTTTGAATAAAACACCCTTGGGCTTTGATTTCTCAAATTGAGTTTTGAATCATGTTTAACTATGAGTTTACATGTGTTTTCTGGAAATTTAGCCCAAGAGGTCGAGTTTTGATGCTTTTGAACTTGGTTTTGGTGTTTGCAAGAGTTTTCCAGAAAATGAGCCCAAGAGGATCGGTTTTGAGTTGTTAACAACTTGGTTTTGAGCTTGGAGGTGCAATCTGGGTTTTCCAGATTTTTCACTCCCGCTCGAGTGGGGAAATTGGCGCTCGAGCGGAGAATCCGAGCATCCAGTATCTCTGCACTGTTTTACAGTCCGCTCGAGCGGAGGATTGGGAGCTCGAGCAGAGTCATGTCTCAAGCTCGAGCGGGCGTCGAGCGAAGATTTCACCCATCCAGTACTTTTATAGTACGCTCGAGCGGGAAAGTTGACGCTCGAGCGTGTACCTTTGTTGCATGACCGCTCGAGCGGGTAAAACCGCGCTCGAGCGGGACTCTGTTTTTCTGAAACTGTTTTCTGATCACATCTTTGCATCCTCATCTCATTCTAGGCATTCTTAGGCCTAGTTTAAGGCATCTTACTGAGGATATAGATGTAGAACACACCGAGGCATTAGGGATTAAGTTGTTATCTTTCCCAACTGTGTAGCTTAGTGTGTTCAACCTGTGAACTGTGTAGGGTTGGCGACTGGGGAGACACGCTCTAGCATACTGTAGCCCAGAACTCTGTGAGTAACAATTGTGTAAAGATATGTTCAACTGATTATCTTTTGAATACTGAACTGAACTGTTTACTGAACTGGATTTTACTGAATGAATGTATGTCCTTTATTTCTGAACTGTACTGTGCATCCTTAGTACCTACGGTTTACTGTATTGTTACTGTTACAGAGATCTCTGTCGGTTCCCTCGTGGAACGACTACTGTTTACTGACTGATGGCCATCATTACTGTTCGGTCTTTCTAGACCTACTGTTACTGTTATGCTAATGGATGTACCACATATGACTGTTTACTGTACTGAACGACTGAAATACTGATTGAATTGAACTGTTTTCATTGCTGTAAGGACATTCATTCTAAACCCCTTTACGCTTTATGTTATTCACTGGGCTTTAGCTCACTGTTTATATATATATGTAGGTGCTCAGCCACCAGATCGGAGCTAGGAGCGTGGGTTAGACTCCAGTTTTGTCAAGCCAGCCTTTGTGCCTCACTGCGAGGTTCCGAGTTGCCATGCTATGGCTTTGGGGTGTTTTGTTTGTTTCCCCCGTCTGTCTCCATACTGTTTGGATTACTGTATAGACTGTCTGTTGCTAACTGTACTGTTATCAAGGGATTAGGTCCCTGTACTGTGTGACTGTAAATTTTGTATAGACTGTACTGTTTGTGTATGTATGGATGCATGAAAAATCTTTTTGGCATACAGACTGTCACAGCTCAATGGACATTGTTTAATTGCTGTTTTGGCTTCCGCCAGGCCCTGTACTCTGTTTTACTGTATTACTGTTAAGCAGGCCTTCGGTAATCTCGGATTACTGGCCGGTTACGGTGCTAAACCCGGGCCGGGTTTGGGTCGTGACATGCATCAACAACAAATTCATGGACTCATCTCTTTCACATATTCATATATTACATAAAGTACATAAACCGTGAATAATCTTACAACAAATATTGTTTTCATCAATCGCCTAGGGTTTGTTTCATGGTTCAAACACAAGAGTGAACTAAGATCAAACAAAGATGGAGAGATTGGGGCTCAAATTCATATATTTAGCTCAAGCCACCATTCTTCTTGATTTCATGACAAAGAAGAGTTAGAGACAAAGATTGTAAGTAAATTAACATACCTCAACTCAAATCTAAGGTTTGCCCTTTGATTTTCTTCAAATCTTTAGCTTTCTCTTCCACTCTCTCTCTAACTCACTCTCTAGGGTTCTCAAACAACAATGAAGAGCAATAGGGCTAAACACACATATATAACCCAACACATAAAACCAAATTAAATCATTACGAATCATAATTTTTCAAAATTTCACTGTAAACACTATAAATCATGCTAATCATACATATGAAGTCAGTTTTTGTTTATCGCACCTCTAAGGCCTTCAATGTCAGCTCAAAGTCTCAATTGCAATAGATATTCCTATTTTCTACAGATATTTTTTCAAATTCACATACTTAAATTTAGAAATTCATATCAACCACATAATCACATACATAATTAAGTATAGTATGGGTTGGGTTATCACATTATGAATTTTATTTTTTTAGTTAATTCTATTAAATAAAAAATTCTAATAAGGGAGTATTTGTAATTTTTTAAACCACAAAGGACAATCTGTATTTTAAGCAATCCTCAGAGGGTGCATTTGTAATTTACCCTTATTTTTTTGGATAAATTATAAATACACCCCCTGAAATTTACTTAAATTATAAATTACCCCTGTGATTCAAAAAATTACATTATGGCCTCTAAGGTTTCTAATTTCATAATAAATAGGTTCTTTTATTAATAAATTATCAAGTTAATTAACAATTTTTAATAATATTAAAATTTTATTTCAATTAATAATTCAAATAATTTTATTATTATATAGGTGAACTGATAAAAATTTCACTTTTTCAATTAATTCTGTTAAATAAAAAAATTTAATAGAAAAATATTTGTAATTTTTTAAACCATAAAAAAATATTCATATTTTACGTAAATCTCAAGAAGTGTATTTATAATTTATTCTTTTTTTATTTTATTTTATAAATTTGAATAACTTTATTATAAAAAAAAACATCAAGACGATACTAACAAAAACAATCCACACCAAGAAAATTACATCTGAGCCAACTAAATAAAAAAAGATTTAGGTTAAAATTTTTCTTCCCAACCACCCCCTCAATAAATAAAGGTTTCGTTTGAGAAGATGGTTTGGGTGGGTTTCGGACTAAAACAGTCACAAAAAATAAAATAAGTTTTTTAATTTCATAAGACAAAATATCACATCAATTTATAATCATTATATTCTTTCTCTAAAAAAAAAAATTAAAAAAAATCAAAAAAATCAACCCACTTCTGAAATCAAACTTTTTAACTCCAAATTAAAATAATTAAAAAAATTAAAAAACCAACCAACTTTTCAAACGAAGTCAAAGCGTGGTGTGGTGTGGTGTGGTGTTGGTGGGGGGCCTAAATTTGATTGGTAGAATTTTTTATTTTTATTTTTATTTTTATTTATTTATTCATAGTCGCGATAAGATATCTTTTCACTTTCAGTTTTAACATCCTCCAATCTCCAATCAAAGTCGACAATAAGATATTTTGTGACCGACCCAACTATTCCCCACGCGCACAACACAGCGCGTGAAAACAAACAAATAGTAGATAGGAGCATCAACCTTCCTTCACAAATGCCTGCTGAAATAAAAAGTGATGGAATTATATTTCTTGTGTGAATGAATCACAAATCTCCCTCTATTCATCATCGAGCATGGCCGACAACAATCACCTCCATCTCCAAACCCTAACCAATTCCAATTCCAATTCCAATTCCAATTCCCTCACCACCACCACAACCAACCACCACTCCCGCCGCCGCCGCCGCCGTGATAAGGAAGACGAAGACAGCTTTGCCGCAGAGGGCGACGCCGCCGAGGTCTGGGGCACCTTCACCGAGAACTTTCGCCAAGTCCAGTCGGTTCTCGATCGGAACCGCGTACTGATTCAGCAAGTTAACGAGAACCACCAGTCGAAGATTCACGACAATATGATCAAGAACGTTGCTCTAATTCAGGAGATTAATGGAAACATATCGAAGGTCGTCTCTCTCTACTCCGACCTTTCAACCAATTTCTCCACTATGTTCCATCAACGAAACGAACCTCTTGATTCCAAGAGCAAGGACGATACTTCTCAGGCTTGAATTGAATCCATCGATTTTCAGTAAATTCAGTCCCCCTCTGTGTTTGTTTGTTTGAATTGATGTTAGTTTCAAGTTAATGGTGTGTGTGTGTGTGTGTTTAACTGTGTGAGCACTGGCTGTTGGAACCATAGGCGTGATAGATCTCTGTAGTGATGCTTATAAGTTGTGTTTCTCATGGTTTTATAAGGAGGAATCATGACTGCGGGACTTACCATCTTCCTCCTCAACTTGTTGACTTTAATGAGGTATTTATGTTCTGTTCGTTCGTTCATTATCTCTTGCTTTTTTGTTTTTGGTTCTGCATATAACATATGTTACATGAACTCGGGTACGAGTATCGAGTGCGGTTGTGGGTGTGCATTCAAGCGTCAGACGTTTATAAACTTAAATCTTAAGATACATATACAAAATTAAATAGGATTCAAGAAAAATATGAAATTTCTATCTTTAATTCATATGAGAAGCTAGGAAATCTGAGTTTCTTCTTCATATATTGTAACAAATTAAAGAATCCGAGTTTCTAAATTGGGTACTTGTCATATCTGGTGAACAATGGCACTTTGGGAAAATAGAAGAGTCCGAATAACACAACATATAACTGATCTGATATGTTGAAGTTAGATTAAAATTTTGACTTGAGGATCATAGGTTTTTATTTATTGAACAGTGAATTCATTTTTTAAATTGGTGTATCTTGTGTGTGGATTTTTCCCTTTTTTCCATGGGGATTTTGGTAGGAAGAGAAACTAGCAGAGTTTAATTAATATGATGAACAATTGTTGTTGCGATGCGTCAATAAGGTCACAGGACCATCTAGTGAAAACGATATGAGGAAGTCATACAAAAATGTGTAAATTGAGTACCTTTCAAAATTGCAGCTTGAGTTTTTTGTTTTTTCAAGATTCTTGCAACTGAGATCTACACATTAAGGAATTTCTATTCTCTCAACCGTTTTTTGTACCTCCTACTCTTAATTAATGGTTAAAAACTAATACAAGAAAAGATTGCCTCATTTGAGTGGTTTAGTAAATGGTGTGCTCTTCTTTTGGGGTGGAGCATGCTAGTTTCAGCACATTGTTTACCATACCATACACACATCAGAGATTGGTCTCAAACAACACTAAAAATTTGGCTGCTCTTTCAAGTCCAAGGAGTTAACAGTGCTATCGTCAAATAGCGCTGTCATAAATTCATAAATCCGTATGTGAGAATTATGAAGAAACATATTGTCAAATATATCTGTTGCGTCGAATCTTGACTATAAGAAATTACATTTTGTATTGGACTGAGTAAGAACAAGGAACTGCAAGTTTTAATGGATACATGTATCTATGAAATGCTATTTTGATATTAAACAGAATGGAAATTGCTTTTCACATTCAAAATGCGGGCCCTTGAGAGATATGTTACTGCTGCAATAATAATATATATATAAAAATGTTACTGCTGCAATAATATGTCGTTTGATACAATATGTTTGAAGGTACACACTTCTTCATCTGCCTTAATGTTTGCTTCGACAACATCTCTCAAATTTGACCACCATTGTGGTTTTGGTGAATAGAAGTTGGTGAAAAGAATATAACAATGAAGGCAAGGAAGCCGAGGAAGGGGATGGTTTAGCTATTTAACTTTTTTTGAAATTTGTTTTTCCAAGGATTTGAGAAGTTTTAGACTCAAATCATACTATGATTGGCAAGATAGTGATGATCTTGTTGAAAATATCTTACTTATTTAGAAGATTAATGAATAGAAATTTAAGGTTTGCTTTGCCTTGGATCTTTATTTTGATCTCAAATATTTCAAGATCATGGAGCAACCACTTTGTGCTAATAATGCTAAATGGTAGGTTTATTCTTACCTCTCCCAGCACCCCTGATTAATGGGGCCTAACCATGGATAATGTCTTTTATCATGAAACAACTGCAAAAAGAAGAAAACATATGGCAAGGGAGAGAATATTGTGGAATCTTGTCTTGTTCATCTTTGATGTTTACATGGGTGATGCCTGACATGGTCAGGGATCTTCTGACTTCATGGATTAGAGGGTGTCCGAGAGGCAGACATAGGATACTTGGGTGACTACACCTTTATGTATTTTTGGTGCATTTGGCAGAAACAAATAGATCTTTTGAAAATGAGGAGAGTGCTATATTGCGTTTGAAAGGAAGACTCCTCACGTCTCTTTTCTTTCAGTTAAATGATCCCTTCTCTTTTGCTCTTGATTATTTTGTACAGTTTTTGGGCAAATTGTGTATTCATGTAAAGATATAGTTTTGATGTATATTTCATGGGTACAGAATTAGTGCCCTGGTTTTTTCGGCACCTTCAGAAGTCTTGAGACTCTAAATGCAGTCTGTATTGATCTTGTTATTCTTGACGGGTAATTCAATAGTTAGTTTTATTCCCTGACCAGCGGACCTTAAATATTATCAGATGGTTTCTAATTTTCACACTTGGTTCAACATCTCAATGAAGCCATTTTAACAAATGCTCGTTACTGTGGGCTTTAGGGTCTTAATATTGTTGTTATTGTGAGAACACTACTATACACTACTATTCTCCTTTTCCTTTTAAGATTAGGAATTAGTGTTAGTGTTCTATATCTAATAGCATTCTCTATCAGTGGTGTATTTTGTTCAGGATTAGGATTTAGCATTCTATATACTTGAGTGATGTATTCTTTGTTCAACGTAATCTAATATACAGTTTTGTTTAGAAATCTTACATGGTATCAGAGCTAGGTTCGAAACCCTAGCTGCTTCGCTTGTCGCCATCGTGGTTCGCTGGTCAAAGGGTCATCGATCTTGAACCCTCTGTGGTTCTTTTGGTTCGTGATCAGCCCTAAGTGGTGACATTCCGGTTTGTCTGGGTCATCACCATCAGTCCTCTCTTGTTCGACTGGTTTGTCACCATCGGAGTCGCGACTTGTCTCTCTCTAGACTCACGAAGGTTCGAAACCCTAGCCCTCTCTGGTTCGTCTCGCGAAGGCCTCTCTCTTCCTCGCGATCTCTGTCTGATTCGATTCACAGCCATCTACTTCATCTCTCTGGTTCATCTGCCTCTCTTTTTCTCACGATCTCTGTTTGATTTGCTTCTCAACCTCAGTCTCTCTCTCTCTGTGTTTTCAACTTGGCTATTTCTATTTAAAACCCTATTTCAGGATTATTGCACTAAAACCCCATATTTGTCTGTTTATTACAAATTTTGTTTTATTATAATGTTGGATACTAAAATCCAAGCTATCAAATGTAAACTCACTGGTGGCAATTATGCCTATTGGGCCAGTGTCATGAAGAATTTTCTTCTTGGTCAAAAAAAATAGGACTATGTTTCTGGTTCTGTTCCTCGTCCATCGGACCAGAAGGTGGAAGGGTATCTGTCTTCCTGTGACACTTGAGATTGTGATAATGTCCAAGTTCTAACCTGGTTTCATAATTCTGTGGATGACCGTATTGGAATAATGTTTTCCAAGTACAGTACTGCCAAGGAAGTGTGGGATTATTTACTCGGTGTTTGTCAACAGTCCAACTTTGCCAAGCAGTATGAGTTGGAAACAACTATTCAGAGTGCTCGTCAGCGGGATTAGACTATTCAGGACTTTTATATTGAGATGACAGGTCTCTGGAATCAGTTGGCTCTTATGGAACCACCTAGTCTCAAGATACTAGACGCTTATATTGAGTTTCGGAAGCAGGGTCGTTTAGTCCAGTTCTTAACAGCTCTCTCCCCTCAGTATGAGACTATTCGAGGTGGCATCCTTCACCGATCTCCTCTTCCCTCTGTGGATGCTATTGTTCGTGAACTCCTCTCCGAGGAAACCCGTCTTAAAACGAACACTACTATACACCTTAGTTGCACGAAGCGGGAGCGGGGGCGGGAGCGGGAGCGGGAGCGGGAGCGGGGGAGCGTGAGCCAATAGAAGTTTCTTAGGTTGGGAGCGTCTCGGGGAGCGGTAATATATATATATATATATATTTTAATAGTTATTTTTAAAATATGTTTATTATATAAAGGTGATTTAAATAGTTATTTTTAAATATATTTATTATTTTTATCTTGGTATTATTTTTATTGATAATATTTTTAATTTATTTATATAATTATTTTTATTTTTAATTGATGTATATTATAATTAAAAAATATAACAAATAAAGAATAATAAAGTATGTTAAAATAAATAAAAGTTAAAAATTAGATACGATGGCGATGGCGATGGCGATGGCGATGGCGATGGCGATGGCGATGGCGATGGCGATGGCGATGGCGATGGCGATGGCGATGGCGATGGCGATGGCGATGGCGATGGCGATGGCGATGGCGATGGCGATGGCGATGGCGATGGCGATGGCGATGGCGATGGCGATGGCGATGGCGATGGCGATGGCGATGGCGATGGCGATGGCGATGGCGATGGCGATGGCGATGGCGATGGCGATGGCGATGGCGATGGCGATGGCGATGGCGATGGCGATGGCGATGGCGATGGCGATGGCGATGGCGATGGCGATGGCGATGGCGATGGCGATGGCGATGGCGATGGCGATGGCGATGGCGATGGCGATGGCGATGGCGAAGATCGAAGGCGAGGCAGATCGCGAGAGCAGATCGAAGGTCCAGGAGCAGATCGAAGGTCCAGGCAATGTCGAAGGTCGACATCGATGTTGAAGGAGAAGCGACAGCGAGTTCAGGTTTCTCTCTCTCTCTCTCTCTCTCTCCCCCTTGCGATCCCATCTTGGACTGGATCGCGTTTCTCTCTCCACAGAATCGCGATTCCTACACGTTTCTTTCTAGGAAGCGCGGAATCGCGTTTCTTAAGAAGATTCGTCACCTGTTAGGACGATTCCTGCAACTAAGCTATACACTACTATTCTCACAGTTATTATCTTGTGTTTGTTTTGATTTGTTATGAGAACGACAGCTGGAAAGAGCTTACCTTCTTGTTCAACACACAGGCCTGATGAGTATTTATATTTTGTCTGCTTTATTTTCATTCCTATGCTTTTTATTGTGAATAACTTCATCAGTTTTTACAAAGGTGGGTTTTCAAGTGTCAGATCTGATATCAAAGTAGTTGCAAACTACCAAACAAGTTCTACTGAAGGGTGCAAGGTTACAATTGTTGCCTCAAAGAACATGTTGATAGATACTATGGTTTTTGGTTTTAGTTTATTGGCTATGAGTAGGAATCTTTTTCTTATGAGTAGAAATCTTTTTCTTTTAGCTGGGTTAATATTCCTCAGATGGTTAAACAACTTTTACAGATAGAGAAGGATTTATTTGTAAGTGTCAGTTCTGGGATCAATGCTCAATTGGTAATATTATCTTGCTTGTTCTCTTTTATTCAAGTTTGATGATGGGTGAGCAGCGGATATACCGATCCGTCAAAACCGACCGAACCGAACCGAACCGATCCGCCGCATTTTGGACGGATGCGTGATAACGAGCGGACAGTTGCGGATTGATTTTCTCCAATCTGCCAATCTGACGGACAGATAGTGGATTTGAGATTCCTTTGGCTGCAACCGAACCGCCAAACCGCGAACACCCCTAGTAATTTATAAGACTTTGTGTTTTCAGTTTGTTTAAATATTCTGTTTGTGTTTTCAATTAAAAAAGAGTTTAAATATTCTGTTAAAAAAAAGTTTTCAACTTGAATGTCTTTTTTAAATTGAAAAAAATAAACGTATTATTTATCTATATTTTTTTATTTTTAAATCTATCTCTAAAAATAATAAATAAAAAATATGATATATGTTGGTTGGTTTTTGTTTTCAAAAACAGATATAAATGTAACAATACAGAGACATACAATCTCTGCTACTGTTCTGTTCATGGTTTTGGTGGTTTGAATTATTTTTTTATTTTAAAAACTACAAATTGTAATACTTTATGTGGATGAGGCATGCAGTGATTGTGATATTCTAAAGTTTCAAACTTTCTTACTTTGGATGAGAAATTCAATGATTGTAATATTTTTTAAGTCATTAAATGTAATTTTATTTTATTTTTTTTTTGAGGAAGTGCACAAGTTGAATTATGTTGAAAATTTATAAAATTTTAAACCGCCAAACCAATTCGCATTCATCCGTCAAACCGCCAATCCGCTCAATCCACATATGCCGGATTGGCGGACGGATGCGGATTGATTTTCTCCAATCCACCAATCTAGCAGACGGATGGCGGATTGGAGATTCCGTGGCTGCAACCGACCCGCGTCCACCCTTAATGTCAGTTATAGTTAGCAGACTAAGTAACAAGAAGAAGATGAGTAGAAGAAGAGAACTCGGGAGGTAATTGGGTTAGAAGGAATGTTGGTTCATTCACCATATGGCTGGATCTTACTCCCAAGTAGTATATTGGATCCAATTAGAAAGGTAAGAATTTCAAAGCCGTCCTGCACAAGAAACATGAGGGAATTGTGCTAAATTTGTGGACTTTATACTATTTTGAATGTGGGGCTGGTTTATGGTTACAATGTGTGATAACTGCAAAATGCTATCCAAATTTTAGTACAATGAATCAGAGTGAAGGGTTTTTCAGCTGAGGTTAGTATTTTAAATTTGGTCGCTGGACTGCCATTTATTTACTGGTGCTACAGAAAGAGGAGTTTTGAAGCTTGCGATGTTGTCGTTTGTAAAATTGGATACAGGGCGGCTTTGGTCATGAAAGCTAAGTTTTTTGTTGAGACTCTGCATGACCCCTTGGTATTTGCAGTTGATCACCAACCCATCAGATATGTTTGGTTTGGGATAGTGAAATTGATTTCGATTCTTATGGAGTAGATTTAAACAAACTGGTGAAAAATCATGTTTCATTAGTACTTTATATTGTTTTCTTTCCACATTTTCAGATTGTTACCTTGTCGCCAGTTTTCCTATATTTAAAATTCTAATTTAAACGAGCATCTAGTGTTTTTTCCTAAACAAATAATTGCTAAATTTGATTGATTGAGGAAATATAATCAAAGCAAGACATGGGATTAGATTTAAATGTTCGGAACATTAAGGATTATAAGTTGTGGGGATGGTTTGGGAGTTTGAATACTGATGCTTTAACTACTAAAGAATATAATGATCAAGTGATTTTGAAATTTGCAGTACTCAACACTTTCTTTTTTTTTTTTTGTTCTGTGGGGGGCGTCATGACCTCCGCAGGCCCAGGTCCCGGGATAGTCAGTTGTCGGCCTGATTTAACCCAGTCCATAGGAAGGAACCTACCACCAAGGCACCAGTGGAACTCATCAACCGCACCAGCCCTGACCACGTGCGATCAGAGTACAGCGCGAGATCTTAAGAAAGAGTCCCTAAAAAATCCAGGATTTTCGCACCTCTCAGGAGTCGAACTTAACCCAAGGCTGTGGAAAGGCAATGCCTTCACCACTGGGCCACTACCCTCGGTGATTGCAGCACTCACACTGTGTCGTGAAATTATGAGCAATATCTCTAAGGAGCATGTGAGCACATGAAAACTTGATACGTCTTACCGTCCCAAAGTTTAAAGTCAACAAAAATCGTGCTTCTTTGTTTTTTTTTTTTTTTTTTTTTTTTTTGGTTTTTTTTTTTTTTTTTTGATTTGGTTTTGTTTTGTTTTGTTTTGTTTTTGTGGTTAGTGTAAAAGAAATTTATTTGAATTACCAAAGTTACATTTTGAGTTTAACTTTTCTCAAGTTATCATCTGAAAACTTAAGAGAGCGTTTGGACTTAGTAAATCTATTTTAAAATTAATTTTGGTAATTCGAACCCTTTTTTTAAACTTGGTGAATAAAATATTTATACAAAAAATCAAATTGATTAATAAACATCCATTTTTTGTAATATAAATTTGATTTAAGCATATAATTATCAATATTTGATTATCTTGATTTTTGTATAAATATTCTACTCAACAAAATCGATTCCAAAACGAACCTATCAAATCTAAACATTCTCATTTGAAATGACCCAACATGAGAGAAATTTAGTATTTTCTTTTTTGGTGAAAACTTTTTCCTTCAGATATTACCGCCGCCGCCGCAGCAATTACCAACACATTAGTTACAAGGTGATAATCAATCATATCAAAATATTTTTTGAAAGTTTTTCTCTGAGGCAAATATAAAGTTGTGAAAAATTTACTCCACACCCTTATTTTTTTTTTTAAGTAAAAAAAATCCTTATCCGCCTAAAAGGAAAATGATTTATTGTTGATGGTTTCCTCATTTTTTTTAGTGATGCTGGAAAAATTGGCTACACATATTGTCATCTTCAGTCCTGTGACAAGAGAAGCAGTCATCTTTGTAAAATGGTTTTCATTCTGCCATCATTTTGTGTCTCCCTTTCCCCACTTCTTAGGATACACCAGAATGCAAACTTTTGCCTCCCTCATGCATATACTCAACAATCAGCAAAGGTAGTTTTGTCGATGACATAACAATCAGCATTTCTATCCAACAAATATCAATCTTTGATTGGTAGCCTCTACCACTGTACCGTGCGTAAGAAAGTGAAAGAAAAATGTGCATTTGTCTTAAGACATAAACTAGTGTCGTACAGGCTGCGTGAGCATGCATTTCATGCGTTTGTGTGCGCGCGTGTGTGTGAGAGAAAGAGAGAGAGGTACCAGTAATTTACAATCATAATTCTTAACACAATTTATGAAAAGCGGCAGCATATTCAGGAATGTAATTCACCACTATCAGAAATAACAACTTCGCTTCTGGGATCCCCACTCTGTCTGCCCTCAGCTTCAATCTTGGAGACAACATCCATCCCAGAAAGCACTTTCCCAAACACAACATGATGCCCATCCAACCTGTACCCAAAATAAATAAAAATAAAAAACTGAAATTCAATGCAGTAGTTAAAAAATCTATCAGGCCACAAAATATTGACTTTAGTACCAGTAAATGCATTATATTGATAAACCAGTAGTGCAGAATCTACACACTGTACCCTTGTTTATGAACATACTACCTATCCAGCCTACTTGCTGGTGTTTTCGATGAAATATTTTCCCATTAGCCATAAGTATTTGACTGTACCGATGGCAAACCAACAATTATTTCACAAAGATCCTACCCATACACTGGCTTGCAACTTGAGGATGGCAAACACCATCCAGTACTAACTAGCTTGCAACTGGAGGATGGCGAACACCATCAGGACTAAGGGCATTAATGGGGCTGGGCTGGGGCCTATGCTAGAAAAAACAGAGAAATCTTGTGACCAAGTCCGGTCTGGCCAAACAACGATCATAAAAATCTATTTCAAGCTTGGTTCTAAAATTTCATTCCAATCCCAAGCCCACCTAATAAACCCATTTATTAAACAAAAAATAAAAAATCAATAATGTCGTAATTAAGTTGCCATGAACATTTAGATTTTGTTCATTATATCCTGAGTTCAAAGCTTGATGAGTGTTTAGTGTATTTTTTTAACTTTAAACAAAAATAAAACTTAATAAATTGTATATAGTATTTATATAATATATAATTTATAAAAATATATATTGATAATCAGGCTGGCTCAAGAACTATTCCCAAGTGCAACCCATTTAATGAATGGGCTTAAAAAGTTCAGGCCAGCCTGGTCCAATAAGCTTAATTATCAATTCAAAGCCCTTAAAAATGTGGGCTAGATTAGGCAGGCCACCAAAACAGTGCCACCCCTATGCAGGATGCGTATTTCTCTAGTAAGTGCTGGAAAAGTTCCTATAGAGAGGAGTACATAGTTAATTACCAGCTAGTTGTCACAGTAGTAATGAAGAATTGTGATCCGTTGGTGTCTGCTCCTCCATTTGCCATGGATATTACTCCTGTAATAAGAAAGGGAAAAAAAAATTAAATCAAAATTCTTGTGGCAAACTTGAAAGCCTAGAGTTTAGATAAGGTACTTGCGAGGGGTTTTGTGCTTACCAGGGCCAGTGTGCTTCAGTTCAAAATTCTCATCGGCAAAGTTGTCACCATAGATTGATTCTCCACCCCGCCCATCACCAAGAGTAAAATCACCTCCCTGGATCATAAAACTGGGAATGATCCTATGGAATTTGCTCCCTTTGTAATGGAGAGGCTTCCCACCTTTTCCAGTTCCTTTCTCCCCTGAAATGAAAGGGATCACTGCAAATGTAAATATGTAAACAAAGTTCCAACGTAATTCTGGTGAGTAGTTTTAACATCAAATTGCGGGCCTCATCCTCCGGCAAAGTTACTGCTTCCAATGCATCAAGGCTTGTAGGCAATTATCACTAGATGACGCAGAATTTTTTTTCCCCCCATTTCTTGAGCCATACAGTAGTGCACATCTAAACAGTAAGTACAAGTCCAAACAAAAGCTATTTTACAGTTTGGGAAACACCGTTATACCAGAGTTATATTACATAATTTCCCATTTGATTCACTTAGCTGCATCAATGCGTAAATTAAAAAATAAAAAAAAAAAACAAAAAAAAAACAGGAATTTAGAATGACACAACCACTTTTAGTAAACAAAACGCCTGCTCACAGGTTATTTCAGTCATTCCCAGTTTGAAGTTATCAAGAAACAATTTACACTTGATTAGGCACTTGATCACCACAAGTTGCAACTATAAAAATGTACAAGTAGACTACCATCTATGACTTGCCGATGACCTGATGCACTTCCAAAGAGCCATTTTTAAGAAGATAATGGCATAATCAATCTTTGATTCTACTGATGATTCCAAAAAACTGTCTTTAAGCACATAATAATCTATAATTCATGAAGAGAAGATTAACCCTCAATCATTCCATCTTCTATGGCTGTCCATCTTCAAATATTAATGTATGACTCTCTACATAAATATAATTAAACAAATGGTTTTTTTTTTTTTTTGTTTTTTTGTTTTTTGTGTGTGTGTAGTATGTTTAACAAATGGAAGTAGCTTCCATACAAATAAAATAAGAAATAGAAGGGAGTAAAAGTTACTTGGCTACCAGTGCAAAGAGCTCGGAAGTTTTCTGCACATTAAACACATAAACCCAATCAGTTGCTTCTTTGCATAGCAATCGAAGCTGAGACATCTAGATCAAACAGTATTTTATGTAGCTGGATACTGTACCTACAGTCTTCGGGACAGTTTTTCCAAAGAGGCCCATGACAATACGACCTGGAAAAAAAAATGATCATGCGTATAGAATGTATTTTACTTAAAGCAGTATAATTGGGAATCACAATTTATCATCAAATAAATTGTATACCTTTTCCTTCTACTTATCAAAAACCCCTAAAAAGAAAATCAGGTTATAATGCCATGCTTTGAAATTCTGTGGAAACAAATGCTCCAAGAGTGCTTGACATTATGTTTTCCACAAGTCCATTTTGTTTTGCATGACAATTTGATGAAAGCCTATCTGAATTGATCCTAACAACTTTTTATGCATGTAACTGCTAACTAGCAGAAATTCTCATATGTGTTTGGAACACCATGTGATCATGTACCCGTCCAATGATATTTTGTGATTTGTCCCCCTACTATTGGGCGGGCACACAACCAGCATAAAATTCCTTGGATAAAAGACGATAACTCCCTAACTGGAGTGTCATTGTTAGCCTCATAAGAATTGGCAAGCATGATTAATCAATCTAGTAGCAAGAGAACATGTTTCCAATGATGTAGAATCTTATTCTAGATATTTTGAACTATGAATTTTGATTATAATTCATATACTTTTTTTTGAGGTTGCGGATGCCATTCAAAACAAAACAAAACAAAACAAAACCAAAACAAACTCAAAGCTTAAATGGTTAGACTTCTTCACATAAAACACATTACACAAATTTAAATTGATTTGCATATTATACATAACAATGGATATACCAGTAGTTTTTCCACCAATCTCCACATCAAAGTAAACCTTGTGAGTTACTTCTTCTAAATTGACCTCAGATTTATTTCCCTAAAAAACATACAAAAAAAATAAATAAATCCATACAATACACTGTTAAATGCATAACCACATCAACCAATTCCAGCACTCATCACTAACCAATCAACAAAAAAAGAAAATGAAATCAAAGTAAACCTTGTGAGTTACTTCTTCTAAATTGTCCTCAGATTTATTTCCCTAAAAAAATAAAAATAAATAAAAACCAAAAAAACAAATCCATGCAATACAATGTCAAATGCATAACCACATCAACCAATTCCAGCACTCATCACTAGCCAATCAACCCAAAAAAAAAAAAAAAATTGAAACCATTAAAGAACATGAATAACCCTAAATGTGTATCGATGACATATGTATTGTATGGTGAAGTTAAAGCTGACCTCACTGTTGATGACCCTGTGCTCCGACGAGACTCCCGCATCGTTCAATCGAGTCTGGAAACAAAACAAATCAACCAAACAACACACACAGATGGGGAAAAAAAATCTGGAAATTGTTGGGAAGGAGTAGGTTTTTGGGGGGTTTACAATGAAAATTTCGTGATGAAAGAAATAAAAGGGATGATGGAAAGGGAATTGGGGAGTACCAGAATGAAAACTATGGTTACGAATAGAACCAGAATCCAGAGGAGGACGAACTGAAGCAACTTGGATCTGGTGAACATCTTCAATTTGATGATGATGATGATGATGATGATGATGATTATGATGATGATGTAGCCTTGTAGGTAGGTAGGTATGTCTGAGCTCCGAGTAAGCTCCGATAGTTGTACTGTTTGTTTGGTGAGAGGATCAAGTGTAATGCAATAGTTGACCAAGGTGTGTGGATATTTTGGGAAAATATCAACTGGAATTTACAAAAAATAATTATAAATCATAAATTTTATAAATATTAATAATTATTGATGATGCCAGTTCGTCCTGGGTGGATGGGTCGGGCTGGTCCAAGCTCTTCAAGTTTCGACACAGGCGGATAATTCCACCAGATGACCTGCAAGCAAGTCCAAAGGAGAACGGGGTAGTCCCCCAGTGAACCCTCCGGCGAGCAAATCAGTAGAGGAAGAAGGAAATATAGAGAGAGAGAGATAAAAAAGCTTAATCTTCCTCTTGTCTTCGATTCTTGCTTATATCTTTTGGTAATCATTTCACTGTAATCATTTCACTGTCCCTTGCGACGTGCCCCCCTCCGCCGAAAGCCTGTGCCCTAGCTTACCTTGTTCAGGTGAGGGGGCTCTGTTCCGACGGGGAGGTGTTGTCGTAATAAATGTTGTGATGGGCTGCATTAATGGTGATGTGTTGTGGTAATAACTCTGCAGATCTTTGTCTGCTGATGTGGCCTGTGTTCCACCTGCCATGTGCCCGAATGCCATTGGCCCCCCATGCCTAGATGGCCTCCAGCTGTCCTGGGCTTTGCCAACCGGGTTATGCTATTGGTCCCAAGCGATGGGTTTGGGGTGGTTTGCTGTGGGCCGTATGCCTTGTGGGCCTATCCATGTCAGTAGTCCCCCATTTCTGAGTGCAGCTTTAGCCCAACGAAGGGAATAGTAATAAGGAAGAGAAGTGCGAACCGAGTGGAGAGGCCGATTGGAAGCCGTGCCGACCGCAAGGGGGACTGAACGGGAGAAGCTGACCGTGAGGGTGGCCGAGTGGGAGGGGTCGACCGAGAGGCTTGCTGATCGCGATGGTGGCTAAGTGGAAGGGGTCGGCCGAGTGGAGGGGTCGGCCGAGAGGCGTGCCGACCGTAAGGGTGGTCAAGCGGGAGGGGTCGACCGTGAGGAGTGCCGACCGCAAGGGTGGCCTAGCGGGGGGAGCTGACCGTGAGGGTGGCCGAGCGGGAGGGGTCGACCGTAAGGCGTGCCGACCGCAAGGGTCGCCGAGCGGGAGAGGTCGACCGTGAGGCGTGCCGACCGCGAGGCATGGGCGAGCGTGGGGCATGCCGACCAGGACGGCGCGAGGCTCAAAAAAAAAGGGGGGTGTGCCATGTGATAATGTGAAATGGAAAGGACAGGGTAAGGGGAGGGGACAATGCATCGTGGCCATATACGTGGCAATATCGTGGGGGAAGTGAAGCGTTGGAGCAGAAATGAAACGATAGGTTATGAGGGGGGGTTTTGAAAAGGCGGTTTTGGCAGTTGATTTGAAAGGTTTTTAAACGAGCGAAAATTAATTTGGATCCATGAAATACGGGTAAACCGTGGGTTTTTGGTATAATTTGTTTCACCTACCTTTTTACAAAAACTCAAAATACCCAAGTGTTAATTCCTTCATTATGTACGACACACCTGTGCAACATTTTCTCAACTTCCTTGCTCCTGCGTCAGAAGTGATTCGTAAGCAAACCCTAGAAATGGCACAAAAAGAAGTGGTGAATGTGAGAATGGACCTCTTGGAAGACGATGATGCAGAGGAGCTAGCGGCGCGATATAGGACGGAGACACGAATGGTGGGTGTGGGGGAACCGGTGGGACAATCGCAGGCGTCGGCCCTGATATTGGCTCCAAGGCCAATAAGCCAGGTAGAGCCGGATCAGTGGCACACTAAGGCTGACAAATCCACAATTACTGCGGCGGATTTGGAGGCTATCAGGGAAAAATACCAGATTCCGGCTGAGGTGGAGTTATTGCTGCCAACATCAAGGGAAAGGCCGTCTGATGCCAGGCCGGGGGAGTTTTCCTTTTACGAGGAGGCGCTAAAAGGTGGGCTAAGGTTGCCATTGCCCCAAGTGGTGGTTGACGTACTGAACCATCTGGAGGTAGCACCGGGGCAATTGATGCCCAATGCATGGAAGATTCTACTGGCCTGTGCTAGCGCGTGGCCCAAGGCGAATGGAGGAGAAGCCATGGCGGTAGACGAGTTCTTTTCCTGTTATAAGGCTTCGGGGCAACAAGAGACGTGGGTCACCCTACAGGCAGTGATGGGGAGGGGATTGGTGGCGGGGCTGCCGACATCGATCAAGGGGTGGCGGCCACGTGTCTGCCAATGGGGGACTGGGAGTGCGCACCATCTGGAAGGTGCCCATTAGGTCGATGGAGTCAAGACTGGGGGTAGCGGCGGAAGAGAGGGTGAAGAGGGTGAAGGAGTGGAGGGAGAGAGAGATGGCCAAATGGGACGAGCTTGTTCAACCGTCTGCATTGTTTGAGGCGGGGTTGGGACCGCAGCCGAGGGGTGGAGACCTCGACCGAGCAGAATTGGAGGCGAGAAGAGAAGTTCAGGAGGCAGAGGATCAGGCCATACTTGCCAAAGCCACGAAGTTGAAGGAAGCACGAGGAGACCGACCGCCTCAACCGATCGCGCGGGAGAGGATTCGACTGCGCCCAAGGCCGCTAGGGGGGAAGGACTTAAGCAGTTTTGAGCCACGACCGCCCCCAGTAGATCTTATAAAAGAACAGGCCAAAAAGGAGGGGGAGGCTCTGAAGAAGAAGAAAAAAAAAAAAAAGGAGTGCCCCAGAGGGAGCTGCAGATGAGTCTGGGGCCAAGAGAGCTAAGATGGCCCCAGCTGAGGTGGAGACCCCTGTGGCCAAGGATACCCCAGAGGTGGTGGGGGTCACCCCAACACTGGAGGTTGTGGAGATTGCCCCAACAGTGTAAGTAGGAGTTGGTTTGACTGAGGCTGAGCCGAGCGGGAGGGAGCAGACCCAAAGGGGCCCTGCACCCCAGGAAGAAGGGGTCCGTCTGGCCACGGCAATCTATCACGCTCGCGCGGTAGTTGGAAGGTTGGAGGGAGAAGAAGGCCCAGCCAGGGCGGGGGCAGACCGCTTGGTGAAGATTGTGGAGGAGACAGCTCTTCGCTCGGCCTCCAGATTCAATGAGGCTGACCTGCTGAGGGGGTTATGCTCCGCCCAAATGGAGGTAACCACCTTGGCAGGGGCCCTTCTAAGGAAAGAAGGGGCTGCCAAGCTAAGAGCTAAAGAGGCCAAGGCCCAGCTGACCAAGTTGAAGAAGGAGAGTGCCGACTGGAAGACTGCCCATGCTGAGCTGCAAGCAGTCAAGTTGGAGCTAGAGGACACACGCCGTAAGGTCGTGTCGCTCGAGTTCCAACTGGCTGGCGAACAGAAAAAGTTGGAGGAGTCTGAAAGAGCCTGCGCCGTTGCGGTCGAGCGGCATGAAGAGGCCATGAGCAGCAATGAAGAGCTGGTCAGGCAAAAAGATGAGGCAGATGCCAGATTTGGAGATCTGTTGAAGGAGTTGGAGGATGAGCGCGCTAAAGCAGAGGAGGAGAAGAGGAGGCTCGTGAGGGAGTTGGAAGTAGAGAAAGCGAAGGCGATGGCGGAGATGGAGAGTCTGAGGAAGGGAGTGGAAGAGGAAATGGCAACGACGGCTGCTGAAAGGGGGGCCCTGCAGAGAGAGCTGGATGAAGAGAGGGCGAAGGCGGCTTATGAGAGGGCGGCCTACCCCGATCTGTGCGTCGCAGCGGTGGAGTAATACAAAGGGTCTCCCGAATTTCAGATGGCAGTAGATGCCGCAGTCGCCAGGAATCTGGCTGGGCAAGAATCTGGGGGGGTGGGCCCATCAAGGACAACTGCTGGAGGTAGGACGGAGGCAGAAGTTATTGAGAGCTTCCAGCAGTCAGACTTCTACAAGCACGAAATGGCTGAGTTCTGGGACAGCGGTTAGAAGATGTTCAAACGCAAAGCTGAAGAGCTGTTCCCAGACTTGGACCTGAGTAGTGTAACGATTAGTGAAGATGATGTGGCCCAAACCCCCCTGGACGAGGGCATTGAAGAAGAAGAGCTTGTATCCAGCGAGGAGGAATAACCAAGGGGGATGAAGAGCCCCCCTCTCTGTGTCTGTTTTTTTTTTTTTTTTTTTATTGTAATGAACTTGTGTACACATTGTAAATGAATAAAATTTCGTTTATGTTGTCAATTGACTGTGTTGGCCTGTATTGTCTAAAATGAATGAAGTCTTGTCATAAAAACTGGTCATAAAAATTGTGCAATAAAAATTTCGTGCAAAGTTAAGTTAAAAGTTCCTTCTTGCAGAGTGAGATTGGATTTGTATGAAAATTGAAAGGATGATAGTAGTTTATTGAAAAATTGGATTATGAAATTGTAGAACATAATATTCGAATGGGGTTAGTACTTCCAGTTTAATAAGTACGGATAAAGAATCCATGGATGAGGACAGAAAAGTATGTTGCAAATTGTAACTAAACGGTTAATTGTAAACTTGTAGAGAAGAGGTTGGAGAAACAAGCTGGGTGGGGTGGGAGATAATCTGATTAGTAAATGAAATACGTGAGAACACCTTTGGAATCTAACTAAGTAAAAACGTGGTCCTGGAATTGTGAATAAGTTTCAAAATGTGACTGAGTGTTAGAAACGTGGTCCTGCTTTTCGAAATTTCGTGGATAGGATGATCTCAGCATGGAGTGCTCAGTCTGGCTGAGGCTTTGAAGTGTTCAGTCTGGCCGAGGCCTTGAGTGCTCGGTCTGGCCGAGGCTTTGAGTGCTCGGTCTGGCTGAGGCTTTGGGTGTTCGGTCTAGCCGAGGCTTTGAATGCTCGGTCTGGCTGAGGCTTTGAATGCTCGGTCTGGCCGAGGCTTTAAATGCTCGGTCTGGCTGAGGCTTTGAGTGCTCGGTCTGGCCGAGGCTTTGAATGCTCAGTCTGGCTGAGGCTTTGAGTGCTCGATCTGGTCGAGGCTTTGGGTGCTCGGTCTGGCCGAGGCTTTGAATGCTCAGTCTGGCCGAGGCTTTGAATGCTCAGTCTGGCCGAGGCTTTGAGTGCTCGATCTGGCCGAGGCTTTGGGTGCTCGGTCTGGTCGAGGCTTTGGGTGCTCGGTCTGGCGAGGCTTTGAGTGCTC